CAAGTCTTTGAGGCAAAATGAGAAAGAACCCTGTGGGTGTGTCTGTCAGTTCTATTAATACTTTACCTTGCTGTCATCTGGGTTTGCTAATTTATACATGCACCTTAGTTTTCACAACTCTTCCTTCACATCCACTTTTCTTTTGGAAATTATTTTTGTAAGGTTATCAACACTTAATAATTGCCCATATTTAGAGTCTTTTCAAGTTAGAGATGGACTCTTCCTATCACAATAAGTTTTTGTAGCACATGGAGGATTAACCAACATTTATTCAGTTTGTATTATATTTTAACGTGTTAATGTTATTTCATTCAGTGGGCACAACCCCTACAAAAAAAGTTTTGTAACTTCTTTTTGTTGTTGCTTTTGAAGCTCCAGTGCAGAGAGGTTAAGTTACCTTAATCTTGGAACGTGATGGAAGTGACTGAGCTGGGCTTTGAATATAGATCTTTCTGGCTTCAGGGTCTAGGACTGTCCAGTGCATGTGCATTAACAACTTGTAGGGTCAGTCAGTGAGACAGTGACATTGTGTGACTCTTTGTCAAAGGTTATGGTGTACCTGGTGAAAGCTGAGAGAAAGCATCCCATGGGGAAGGTAGTCAGTGCACCACTAAGGATGAAATGACCATAGTGAGCTTTGGAGGGGATTTCAGGACTCTTACGGAAAAAGGTAACACCCTCAACACTGGTCTAAAATGCACTTGTTTGGCTATCTCCTCCCTTTGTTGCTTCACTTCGTGACCTCTGACCGTCTCCCCACAACTTATCTCAGATCTTCTGACTGTGTCTGGCTCTCTGTGTCTGCTGAATGGCAATGTTTGCCTGTTTAACAGTACAACGTCACTTTAGAGAATATGGGATCGTAGATCTCTTTCCCCACCATTGTCTCTGATGGGACATTTGGAAATTCCCCATAAGAATTTGGAAGGATGCAGCCTCTTCACTTTCTCAGAAGAAAGCTAACAAAGAATATATAAAAAAGACACAGAAAAGTCTTGATCAGTACATAAGCGATTGATTTTAGTGAACTGAGAGAGAGATTTTGTCCAGAGGGGCTCAGTACTTGGACACTCACTCCTTATTGCTGGTTCGGCTGCAGCTGCTCTGTGAGATTCTCTCACTCACATGCATCTTCCTGCCACAGACTTTTCCCGTCTGATCTACACTTGACCCTTGGGTGGCCTCTTATGGATTGTACCTTGCCTAAGGCCAGGAACTTATCCACCTGAGCTTCAGAATTATACCAGGGTTTCCATCTTCCATGCCCCACGCCAGTGTTTGAAATTAACCCAGAGTGTGTCCGATTCATGGTTATCTTGCTAACCTAGAGGAGAGGTCAGGTAGAACAAGAGTTGGTCTCTTAAATCAAGGAGGAATTCAGGACAAAGTGCTTGAAATGTTTTGTTTTGTGATTGTCTTCCTCAAGTTTGTCTTCATTAAATTACAGCAGCTCCACTAATCAGCATATACTATTGTTTGTATCTTGTTCTGGGCATTTAAAATGATTCCAGTAGTCCAGAGTTGCTGGCTTTAGTAAATCAAAGCACAGGACACCCGCCCAGTTAATTTGAATTTCATACAAACAATAGTTTTATTAGTGTATGTTTCAAATGTTGCACGGAAAATTTTTCTAGATTGCATACAAACTGTGTGGGTGTTAAGTAGCACAAGTGTAGCTTATTTCCTCTACCTTAGATGAACTTGAAAGATTGCATGTGGCATACTTATACTCAAAATTTACTCATTACTTATCTGAAATTCAAATTTAACTCCACAGCTTTTATTTTTCAACCCTAGTCCCAAAAGAAGGTGCCTTAACTCAAAGAATAAACATCTCATTGGGAAAATAGAATCACTGGCAAAGACCTCTGACCATATACTAGGCAGCTCACATTAAGGTTCTGGTGAATGCCATGAACAATGAGTTTAGACATATTTAAGAACACACACAACTTCAATAGGCAGGGATAAACTATGCACGAAGAGGGGACTAGAGTTCTGATGGCAAAGGGACATGAGCAAAGGTATGAATGTTTGGAGCGTAAGAAATTGTCAGGGGATGGCGAGTAGGCCTGGGTAGAAGAGCAAACTGAGTGAAGGAGAAATTTGAACTCTGTTCTGCTGTCACTGTGGACCCATTTAAAATTTTAACCAAATGGAAGGAACACTGCAAAACCTGTTTCAGGAAGATCATTGTTTCCAATAAGAAACCTAAAGCAGAGAGAGATGAAGTAACTTGCCCAAATAGTAGACTTTTAGTGGAGAAAGGATAAAGGCCACGTGAATACAGTCAGCTTTAAGCAATAAGAATTAAATATGAAAACCTGCCCTTAGGCATGTTTTCCTCTTTGTGCTTTTTTCCTGGACTGTTAGAAATGGCATGTAGGGGCCTCCACGGTGGCACAAGGGGTTAAGATGCAGCACTATGATGCTATCGGCAGCCACTGCAGCACAAGTTCAATCCTCAGCCAGGGTGGTGACCCACATGGTGCAGCAGACCTCTCCTGTCACACCTGCTGCTCCCCTCAGCAGTGTATTTCAGTCAATCTGCCTGTTCTGTTCCCCACTCTGACTCAGGTGAATCCTCTCACTCCCCACACCTGTGGCCTGCACTCCAGCTCTTGTATGCATAAATAAATAAAAAACAATCTTTATTTATTTATTTATTTATTTATTTATTTAAATAGAGGCATGCTTTATTTATTTGTTTGCTGGTTTGTTTGTTTGTTTTGTTTATACATGCACTGGGTACAGTCAGAAGCGCGGGAGGGTGAGAGAATTCACCAGAGTCAGAGCGGGGAGCAGAGCAGGCAGAAGGACCGAAGTACACTGCTGAAGGGAGCAGCGGGCGGCAGAGGAGAGGTCTGCGCGCCATGTGGGACCCTCCTCTGGTCGGGGAGCAGCCGGGGATCGAACCGGCGCCGTAGAGGCCGCGGGCAGCTTCGCAACCCAGCGCTCAACCGCTGCGCCACTGGGGAGGCCCCAAAAAACAATCTTTAATTAAAAAAAAGAAATGGCATGTAAGTGGCAGGTTGTACAAATGACAGTGTCTGCTCTGGATGTGATTGAACTCTTTTGATATTTGGATTAGGAAACATAATTTAGTAGCTACTGATAGTATTTCTTCCTAAGGCAGCGAGGAAGTAAATGTTCACTTGCTTTATTCTGGCCTGAATTGTAGGGCTATCCAGGAGGGCCAGGGCTACCTCACTGCTGCCAAAGAGTCAGGCTTATTTTAATCTACTAAATTATTGTCATGGCCATTTTTGACCCTCCTCTAGCCCATCTGTCTCTCTTTGTCAAAGAGATATGTAGTACAATAAGATTGTGGCTTATTATCTCTGTGCTGCCAACTTTAGAACTGTTTGCAATCTGTGGATTTTGTAGTAATTGTGCTATTTCTGTATGTATATGAGGGCAGTATTTTCAAGGAAACCCTGCCCCATGGAGATAGTCCAGTGCTTTGGATGCTGTCTTTATGGGCAGGCCAACCCCATTCATGTGTCAAATTAACAGGAAAAAACAAGCACATTTCCAGCCTTGAAATTTTCTGAGTAACTGAGATTGCTTTCGTGTGTTTATAATTTTATTTTTCTTTTGCAGGTTTATATTTTCTTCTTACTATACTTGCTAACAAATTCCTTTATTCTGGCTCTGCCAGACTAGAAAATCACCTGTCAGAGGTGCGGTAGTAGAGATTTAGGTATCATAGAGGATGTAGAACTAAGTGACTGGAAAGGTCTCTTCCATTTAGGAGATTCTATCATTCGATTTCCTCAGTGATTCAGAATAAAATTGTATGCTGATTGTCCCATAGTACTCAAAAAATTGTAGTTAACAGAAAAAGGCCTATAAATATTGATTAATCACACATTCTTTCTTTTGTGATGGTTTAATCAAGTGATATATTACTGAAATTTGTCTTTTGATAATAATGATTTTATTCCTTAGCAACTGTTTATACAGTGTTGACCAGTGAAAAACTGAGATGGATTCTCCATGCTTTAGGTTGTCAAAACAATGAATTGGTTTGAAATATAGCAGCATCATAATTAGAACAGAATGAGATGTACAATACAGGAATAATTCAGAGTAAGGTATAATAGCGAAGGCACTCCCAAACAGTAGGTTATAGCCCTCATGATGCAGTCAGGTAGGAAGTTTAAAAAAATACACAGGTTGCTAGACCTCACCTTGGTAACTCTGATTGACTGGGGTAAGGTATAACATTCCCTCTCTTCCTGGCCTTCTACCTGCTTGACAAAATCTGAGCCCTTGATCCACCTGCCAGTGTTTGTCAGCATGCGTGTGGGCTGGGGTTTTCCTGGGAAGCAATCAGGAGATTGCTTGGTCCCAAACATGGTTTGGAATAACCTCTACCCTCTTGTCTCCAATTCCCTTTAGATTTTTTTTTAATATATATTTTAAAATTTTAAAATTTTTCTTTTTTTTAAGATTTATTTATTTTTATACAAGAACTGGGGTACAGGCCAGAGGTGTGGGAGGGTGAGAGGATTCACCGGAGACAGAGTGGGGAACAGAACAGGCAGACTGACGAAATACACTGCTGAGGGGAGCAGCGGGAGAGACAGGAATGTCTGCTTCACTGTGTGGAATTCTTGCCGGCTGGCGGGTATTGAACCTGTGCTGCAGGCATGTGGACAACTTCACACTGCGGCGCTCAGCTGCCTGCACCACCACGGAGGCCCAATTCCCTTCAGATTCTCTAGCGCCTCCCCTCACTGCCATACTCCATGTGTCTTATACTCTGTGCCTTCTCATAACCTCCCCCTTCTCTTCATGCATCAGTAAAATCAATAAGCCCCCAAACTTACTCTACCATGTTCCTTCCTGATCCCACCCACATAAGTAAGCCTTACAATGGCAGATGGGATCTTAAAGAGAAAGATTAACTTACTGTTTCATTCCATTGGGATCGCTAAACAAAATACCACAGACAGTGACTTATTAACAATTATTGATTGCTCACTGTTTTGCAGGCTGAAGTGCAAGATCCCGGTGCCAGGATGGTTGGGTGAAGAGCCTCTTGTGTGTCCCAGATGTCTTATAACCTCATATGGCCAAAGGAGGGAGTGAGAGAGCTTTTTTTTTTTTTTTTTTTTTTTTTTTTTTAATAAATACTGATTCCATTTACGAGTGCCTCAGACTCATGACCTAATTATCTCGCAGATGCCACACTTTCGAAGACCATCACATTGGGGATCACAATTTCAACATAGGAATTTTGGGGAAGCACAAACATTTAGACTACCGCACTTAAAATTACTGATTCCAAATTAGGAGGTGTTTCTATAATATAATACATATTTCATTAACTTTATAAATCTGCAGAGTAGTGTATCTCTTTATTTTACAGTTGGCTAATAAGTCGTTCACATTGCTGGTAGATTGACTGAAATCAGTGGGTAAAGTTTTTTGCTTTTGACATGGACCTTCCCCATATTGTGAAACACATTTGTCTCATGTTGCACTGTTCCCAAAGTAAGAGACAATCACTTGCCTAGTCTAACTTACTTTAATTTAGGAAGATGTGAAGACTTGTGTTGATTTGTTTGTTGTTCTTTAGGTTTAGGTTTAACTTTTTTAGTAATTGCTTTCGGAAAAGACACTTAATAGAAAAGCAAACTGTTGCAACTAAAGATTGATTATACCTTTTATTTCATCTTTCTCTCCTTATCAATTTTATGTGACATATGTGAAAATCAATATAATGCTTGTTTTTCATGAAGAAAATGCTGTGTAGTGAAGGATAGATTTGGACTTTAATATACTATATATACTTGCTGGTTCTCAACAATGAACATCCAAAACTTACGTAATGCTGTAATGCAATATTACTTCAATAACAACAAACAAAAAATGCAAATACTCAGCTATGAAAATCTTTAAAAAAATTAGACTTTGCCCCTATATATTTTTTAAAGATTTATCCATTTATGCATACAAGAGCTGGGCTACAGGCCAGAGGTGGGGGCAGAGGAGGGTGAGAGGATCACCAGAGACAGAGTGTGGGGACAGAACAGGCAGATTGACTGAAGTATACTGCTAAGGGGAGCAGTGGGTGAGTCAGGAGAGGTCTGCTGTACCATGAGGGTTTCTCCCTGGCCAAGGATCAAACTTGTGCTGCAGTGGCTGTGGACAGCCTCAGAGATTGTGCCTCAACCCCTTGTGCCACTGGGGAGGCCCTCCCTCTATATTCTTAAATCATTGTTGAACATAATATTTGCCATTAATATTTTTTAATACGCATGTATATTTTGAAAGTTTTTTCTTTCACTTTGACTGTCTTATATGGTTATGTTATAAAATGTAGAAAAAGTTTGGTAAGAAAATAAAAGCCATTTGCAATCTCACCATCTAGAGAATATCATTGTTAATGTGTATTTTTGCAACCACTGATAAGATATATGCTGCCTTATGCATAGAGTACATGCTGTCGTTTTTGACACAAGTGATGGCATATTCACACAATTCTATGTTTAACTTATCAGTATGTGTTGCAGTCACTGTATCAGCACACACGTTCTTTTTAGAGACTGCACATTTGCCTAAAGTTATTTAAAGTCTGCCATTGATGTCTCTATAAGTGGTTCTACAAAGTTGAGTTATTAAAAATGTGGCACTGAAAATTCCTGAATCTGTATAATTTTATCCAAAGGTGAGTGTATCAGTAGGATAAACTTCTAGTAGAGGCAGAATGTGTATTTGAAAGTTTGGTGGTTATACCCACGTTGCTCTGCACAGAAGTTCTGGCAATGAATACTTCATGAACAGGGTTTCCAGTGCCAGCTTCCCCACACACTCACTGTTAAACACTTTGGACTGTCATTCTGAAGGGTGATCCTTGTTATCTCACTGAATTTGCTTTGCACATTATGAAAGAGTTTTAACATCTTTTCCTAATTCAAGAATTATTTTCATTTCCTTTTCTCTATACTCATGCTTTGTATCAATTATCCTATATTTTCTATTCATTTGTAAATTTTATTTTTAAGGAGTAAAGGAAATTAGCTCTTTGACTCTGAAGTGCTGGAACAAAAACAGACACATAGACCATTGGCACAGAACTGAGAGCCCAGAAGTAAAACCACACATTTATGGCCAACTAATCTATGACAAAGTATATATACTGGAACAAGGAAAGCCTCTTTAATAACTAGTGTTGGGAAAATTGGACTACCACATATAAACTCTGTAAACTTTGGGGAGTTGTAGGAAATTCAAAAATAGAATGAAACTAGACCACTATCTCACACCATACACAAAAATCAACTCAATGGATAAAAGACTTGTATGTAGGGCCTGAAACTATAAAATAGAGGAAAACATAGGTAAAACACTCCATGACATGAGCTTTAGAAATATCTCTGTGGATTCATCCCCAGCAGCCAGGAAGACAAAGGAGAATATAAACAACTGAGACTACATCAAATTGAAAAGCTTCTGCACAGCGAAAAAAACAGTAACAAAAACGAAGAGACACCCCACTGAATGAGAGAGAATATTTGCACATCATACATCTGACAAGGGACTGATATTGAAGATCTGCAAAGAGCTAATACAACTGAACAATAACAAAAAAAAATAAAAAAATGGACAGATGAGCTAAATTGGTACTTCTCCAGAGCAGATATACACATGGCAAATAGGCAAATGAAAAATGTTCAACCAAATGCAAACCAAAAGCACAGTGAGATACCGCCTCACACCTATGAGAATGGCCCGTATTAAAAAACTAAAACAAAAAACAAGTGCTGGGCAGGGTGTGGAGAAAAAGAAATGCTCTCACACTGTTGCTGGGAATACAGACTGGCCCATTCTCTTTGGAATTCAGTGGGGAGGTTGCTCAAAGGACTAAGATGGTCCTGCCATATGAACCAGCAATTCCACTCCTGCGTGTCTGCCTGAAAGACACAAAAACATCTTAGAGACCACCTACATAGGACATTAGTTTCATTATGTCATCATCAATACTTAGTTTTTTTACATTTTTAAAACTGTTTGATAAGTAAAAATAATCATATTTCACTATAATTTTATTTTTAATTAATTTATTAGAAATGAAGGAACATTATTTTTTGATTGTTTCTAATTTTCTTCTTTAAATTATCTATTTTCTGCTATTTTTAATATTAGATTCCAATGTTAAGTTAATTTGAAATTGTGACTTTTGTGTTGAAGAAAGAGTACCCTGTAAACTTTGGGGAGTTGAAGGAAATTTATGCCTCATTTTGTTATGTGGTTCAATAAGTGCTTGTCTTTCATCAAAAAGAGTATGGGGAATATAACCAAAACGAAAATGCATACATTGTGCAAAGATGAAAAAAGATGTAAGAATAATATAAAATAAACTATTAAAAAAAAAGAGAACTATTAACTTTGGTTACCACTGATGGTTACTATTGAAACTGAAGAAAAACAATAAAAATCTCACATTTACTCCCTCCACCACTGCATTTGTAATGACATAGTGACATTTAATGGTTTTAACACATGTTACAGATGATCTAACAATTTGTAGGCTAATAATTAACATCTAACTTTTTAAAATTCAAAATTGGTTAAAACGAATTAAAGTGACAAGCCTAAGAATTTGCAGAACTCAAAAAGCTTTCTCTATTAAAAGGTTCCAAGAAGGCCAACTCTAAGATATAAAAATTCAAATTTTGCTTAGAAGACCAATAATTAAATGACAATCAGTATCATCACCTGCAATTGCAGGAAGCTTATTATTTCCTAAAACAATGAATAAATGAGAGAACATCAGTGGTATCAATAAATATGTGACCCTTGGGTTAATTATTTAAGACTGCCGATTTCTTTATCTACAAAAGGGAGACCTATGGCTTTGTTGCATATTTCAAAATGCCATGAATATTAATGAAATAATGTCTGCATGAAATAAGATTTATGGGAATATTTCTTTTTATGGCTCTTACTAAATTCTTTGCTTTAGAATTTAGCCCTCTCCATTGCTAGACAGTTTTAATTTTGGGACAGTCCTTCCTTATTTCTAGGCAAAATCTTCCTTCTGCTAATTTCTACCCAGGATTCTACTTTTACCTCTGAAGCCATGCAAACTAATTCTAATTCCTTGACCACATGTTAACACTTTTAAATATTTTAAATAAGCTCCTTACATATTTTGTAGGATTTTACATAATCTGTACTAAGCAGTATTCAGTCTGAAATAAAGTTGCTTTTTTATTTAGGAAAAATTTAAAGAACCTGAAGTGATTGTCATTTTCTTATAACATACCTTAATCATTAAGGTTTGTCAATAAAATTCAACTCTCTGCAGTGCTTTACAATGAAATGCCCCTTACACACAGATACTTGGCCATTATTCGATGGTTGTTTATCATACAGAGGAGGCAAATGATGGGACTGACAGTAAGTATAAGCATTCTGACAACTGAGCACATACTGCATTTGTAAGATGAATTCCGTGCACAGAGAGTGCCTTGTTTTTCTGGCAGAGAGATGACTTTATAGGGGAAAGAGTAATGGGGAATTGGAGAAGGATCTACTTTATATTTGGGGACAGGGAGTGGGTTAGATGAAAATGTAGAGAAATTTCTTTTTCTTTGCTGTGGCTATAGTAAATGCTCAATGTATTTAGTTGGTAAAAGTACAGAACCTATGGCTCTCTTTTGTTCCTGGTCATCTTTAATGTATCTCAAGCAAACAATTAATTTTATCCATTCACGTCATAGTATTATGGACTGGACATATTCATATCAGGCACTGGAGTTATTAAAGTGAATTAGACAAGTTATCTTTTTTGAGGGCGCTTGCATTTTAATTGAGTGACAAATATGAAAATACAGAATTGTCCCCCCGAGGTCCAGGCCTTTCCATGATGGATCACAAGGTAGAGCCCCTCAAAGCTTCTCAAAACAAGACTAAGGCTGGGGCTTGCAGGCTGAGTGAAGGGAGAAAAGGGCATCTTGACACAGGGGCAAGTATGTGCAAAGTCACTGAGGATGGAATCCACAAGACCTATCTAGGTAATCACTAGAAGTTAAAATGGCTTGCGAGAGGGAACTAGACAGGATCAGTGGTGGGAGATAGG